CCCCGCCCCCCCCCCGGCCGTCACGCAGCCGCCTTGCCTCGTAGGAGGCTCAGCGCTAAGGCCGGAGACTTCGGTTCGGGACCAGGTAGGAAGGAGGGGCGCGGCGTGGGGAGAGGGGGGGGGGCATCGCTTAGTCCGGGGAGCTTTTCCCGGTTTCCCCACCCCTTCCCGGGTCATTCCCGGCAGGGAGGGGACGAGGTAGGGGCAGAGCGGATGGAAGCCGGAGATCCCAGGTTCCCGGAATACTCAGGCTCGGGCCTTTTCTCCCCTCCCTACCCCCATGGCTCGAGTTTCTCCTTCGTCCCTGGTGCCACCGGACTGAGCGGCGCCCAGAGCGTCCCGGGGGCCCTTCTCTCGCTCCCCACCCCGGCGGTGTTCCTGGAGACCCAACTTCCTCGCGCGAGTTTCTTACTCGGCGCCCTCCCAGTGCGCACTGGGAAAGAGGCTGCCTGAGACCACCCCACTAGCGGGGACTGGAGCTGGGCTGCCCCTGCGGGGTGTCCAGGTGAACCCTGGAGGGTTCCGGGCACTCACGCGGCGCGCGCCTTCCTCCCCGTAGCCCCCCGGGATGCGGTAGCGGCCACTGTGCGCAGGCCGCGAAGCAGCTGCAGCCGCCGCCTCGCAGATCCACGCTGGCTCCGTGCGCCATGGTCACCCACAGCAAGTTTCCCGCCGCCGGGATGAGCCGCCCCCTGGACACCAGCCTGCGCCTCAAGACCTTCAGCTCCAAGAGCGAGTACCAGCTGGTGGTGAACGCAGTACGCAAGCTGCAGGAGAGCGGCTTCTACTGGAGCGCTGTGACTGGCGGTGAGGCGAACCTGCTGCTCAGCGCCGAGCCCGCGGGCACCTTCCTCATCCGTGACAGCTCGGACCAGCGCCACTTCTTCACGCTCAGCGTCAAGACTCAGTCCGGGACCAAGAACCTGCGCATCCAGTGCGAGGGGGGCAGCTTCTCGCTGCAGAGCGACCCCCGCAGCACGCAGCCGGTGCCCCGTTTCGACTGCGTGCTCAAGCTGGTGCATCATTACATGCCACGGCAGGGCTCTTCCTTCCCCTCGCCGCCCACCGAGCCCTCCTCCCAGCCGGCCTCGGAGCCGGAGCCCGCCCAGCCTCTCCCAGGAACCGCCCCCAGGAGAGCCTACTACATCTACTCTGGGGGCGAGAAGATCCCCCTGGTGTTGAGCCGGCCCCTCTCCTCCAATGTGGCCACCCTTCAGCATCTCTGTCGGAAGACTGTCAACGGCCACCTGGGTTCCTATGAGAAGGTCACCCAGTTGCCTGGGCCCATCCGGGAGTTCCTGGACCAGTATGATGCCCCGCTTTAAAGAGCAGAGGCAGGAGTCTAGGGGGCCTGGTCCCCTCTCCGTGGCACAGGGCACAAGCACAAGAATCCAGCCCCAGAGTCCTGCAGCTCAGGGTGAGCCAGGGGGCGGACAGGCCCCTCCCTTCGGCCCTCCCCCCTGCAGACCCGGCAGGTGGACCTGGAATGCCTTGGAGGGCCGGGGGTGAGTGCCACCTGAGTCCTGGCCCCCCACTCCAGCCTTGGAGGAACCAGCTGGCCAGTGGGACAATAGCCAAGTCAAGCGGATTCTCCTGTCCGCTCCCCTTCCTCGACTCCCCCTCTGCTTCCAAATGGAAGTGTTGAACTAGTGGAACTGCTGGGGAGCCTCCCAAGGGGACTGGTTTGCACTGATTTGGTTTAAACCCGAACAGGCCACAAGGTCTGGGAAAGGAGGGAAGAGGGGGTGCCCCAAGGCTGCAGGCTGGCCAAGGAAGTGGCCTTTCCCGAAGCCCAGTGCAGGAGTGGCGAGGGGCTGTATGCTCCTGTCCCTCCCTGGCTCTGGGGAAACCTCATGTCCCTTGCACTTAGGGACAGCCACCAGAAACACAGGTCCCAAAGTCTACCTGGTGCCTGGGAGTCCAGGGCCCTTCCCCTGTTGTAAGGGGGAAGTGGTATTCAAAGGGGGCGCGGATGGGCCTGGCAGTGGGTCTCCTTTCCCCACTCATGATGTGCCTTCCAGCACCTGGGGGAAAGGGCAGCAGAGGAGAGGAGTCATCTTTGATCCCAGACCCCCAGCAGAGGAGATGGGGGGGTTCTGCTTTGTGCCTCCTGACTCCCTCTGGCTAGGAGATTCGCCTTAAATGCTCCCTGTCCTGTGGACAGGGACTGGCACACCAAAGCCTCTCGCTGGGCCATCTAGACAGGGAGGCAAGGGATTCGCCTTGAGGGGACACCCAGCCAGCCACCGGCCAGGGGCAGGGGACGGGGGCGGGACCCATGTGTCCAGCTGAGCACCAGGAGAATGTGAGCCTGGCTGGTACTGGGTGCCTCGTGGTCAGCAGGGCCACCAGGTCCCATGGCCCCCCCAGGCCCTGCACAGCCGGTCCTCCTTGCCTGGGCGGGGAGGAGGCGGGGAGTCCCCTGCCCGGCTCTGCCCGTGCACTGCTCCCTGAGAAGAGCGGGGATGCAGCAGCAGAGGAATTACCTGGAACTGTCCTGGGGGCGCTGAACACCCCGTGTTCTGTGTCAGGTGTTGGTCGGGGTGGAGCAGCTGTGTGCTGGGGTGGTGTTTTTTTCTTTTTGTTTGTTTGTTTGTTTGTTTGTTTGTTTGTTTGTTTGTTTGTTTGTTTGTTTGTTTGTTTGTTTGTTTGTTTGTTTGTTTGTTTGTTTGTTTGTTTGTTTGTTTGTTTGTTTGTTTGTTTGTTTGTTTGTTTGTTTGTTTGTTTGTTTGTTTGTTTGTTTGTTTGTTTGTTTGTTTGTTTGTTTGTTTGTTTGTTTGTTTGTTTGTTTGTTTGTTTGTTTGTTTGTTTGTTTGTTTCTTGTTTTTTAATAATGTTTACAATCTGCCTCACTCACTCTTTTATAAAGATCCCACCTCCAGTCCCCTCCCCGGCCCCTACTCAGGCCTTCGAGGCGGTTAGGAGATGCTTGAAGAACTCAACAAAACCCCAGTCCAAGTCAAATTTTGCACATATTTATATTTATATTCAGAAAGGAAACATTTCAGTAATTTATAATAAAGAGCACTATTTTTTAATGAAAAACACGACTTGAGCCTTCTTCCCCACCCCTTTACACCTTGCTTTCTCTTTCGCCCACATCCACACTGCATCAGCGGGGAGGAGGGAGGGCAGGAGCCTAGAGCCACAGGGGGTGGTGGCTCTGCCCCTGCTGCCCTGGCGCTCCTCCGCGCGGTGGAATCAAGCGCCTTCACGTCAGCGCGCCTGCCCGCCTGTGTCACTGACAAGCTAAGGCAGCCCGAAGACGCACTGAGAGGGGTAATTCCTGCTAGTCTGATTCAGATCAGACCAGAATATGCAAAGCAAGTTCGAAGGAAGCCGCTTCAAAAGGCTTCAAAAGGCTCGCAGGGAGCGAGCGGAGCTGTGGTCAAAGCTTTCAGAGGCTGGAGCCATTAGAGACGCTTGCGCTCCTTGGCAAAGGGGTTCCGAGAAAGCCAGTGGGGTGCTGGCAGTGACCCGTGACCTGAGCATGATGGGTTCATGGGTGGGGGAGGGACAGTTTGATGAAACTCGGCAGGCAGCAGGCCCTGCAGGGGCTGGGTACTCCCACACCTCCAGGTTCCCTCCCACATTTCTGGGCGCCCCAACCCAAGCAGCAGACAGCGCTATGCTTCCCCAAAGGGCACCAATCTATTTTTAGGCACTCTCACACCCAGGCACTTAGAAGCTACCTGGATTGCTCTTCTAACCACCCCCGCAAAGCAGGTGTGAGCCTCTCCCTACCCTCAGACCTGGCTGTGCACTCCCAGCTAGTGGGATCTGAACTGGTCACTTCTGGTGCCTACAATGGTGCTCAGTAAATATTTGTCAGCTGAGTGGGGGCAACGATTCAGGTTAAGCAACCTCCCAAGGACACAGCACTTGGGAATGTGGGGAAGACAGGGGTGGGATCCAGGAGCATTCAATTTCCGAAGACTGACCTATCTGTCTCCCGACACTAAGGATATGCCCACAGTGGGCTCTGGGTGACTTCTCCCTGAAAGCTGAAAAACCAAGACGCTGGTACCCCAACACTCAGCAGGGTTCCGCTAAAAGACAAAAAATTTAAAAACACCTCTGGTGTTTTCCTTCCCACTCCTTCAACTTCCCCAGACCTGGCAGCTGGGAGATGGGTGTCACCCCACGTCAGGGGCCCTGTCCCCTCATCCGAAGCTCAGATGAGACGAAGCCAGATCTCTTCCCAGCCTCCTCGCACCCAAGAATCAGTGTCCAAAAGGCAACTGAGAGAGTAAATAAACAAAGCCATTTTTCTTTTCCATTTCCTGGACTTTTGGGGAAAATGACCTAAGTGACGAGAAGGGGCCAGGCCAGATGTGAGGCTGCTGAGTGGACAGAGCAGCAGGGAACTACACTGTCAACTCAACTGGGAATGCAGAGCCCGAGGGCCTGGCTCCCAGTCCCTTCCGGAGAATGGGCTCCTGGGAAGCCTCTGCAGCTTTTCCAGGACCTGCTGGTTGGCCACCACCTGCCGTCCACTGCAGAGAGCTCCCGTCTGCTATGGCAGCCTCGACAGCACCGGGCTAGGTCCCTGTCCTTGGCAAAGGCAGCAGCTTAGCCAGGGTGTCACAGAACGCGCTAGCAAGGGGACTTGGTCATCTCTGGCCCAGGAGAAAGGGCTCCCCCTCCCCCCCACCCTGTGGAAGTGGAACTTGGGTTTGGGGGAGAGGCAGGAAAACACCCATTTCCCTACCTGCCGCTCATTGCCTCACCCCAACCTTCTCTGTCTTCTTTTCAGATCACAAACTGCACCAGCCCTCTGGATCTGCACACAAGGACGCTGAGGCCCAGAGAAGGAAGTGTCTTGCTCAAGCACACACAGCAAGCTAATGGCAACACCAGGGAAGAGGAATCTCTTCCTCCATGGCTCTGCAAGCCAGCAGCTCCACCCTGTGCTGAGTAGTCCTTTGAGGGGAGAATACCCCTTCTACAAAGGACTTAGTGGGGGCCCGCTGTCCTGGTGCTAGAAAGGTGCTCCTGGCTCCCAGATGTGCTAAGTGCCCTGCAGGGACTGGGGGTGGGTCTGGGTACAATTAACTGTTTGAGCAGGTACCCCACACCTCTGCAGGGTAAAGAACACAGCCGGGGGTCGCTGGCCAACAACAAGGTGGAGAGGGCTGCTCCCAGACCCCGTGCCCCTCTCCCAGCTGCGAGCTGTAAGAACCCACCCCACAGGCCCTATCCTCTCTCTGGTTCTGGGCAGGCCTCCTGAGGAGTTAGAGCCAAGAATGGGAAATCTAAGGCCTGCCTGGGGAGAAGGAGGAAAAGAGGCCACAGAGAGGGGAGCTGGCGGTGTAAAGTAAGCGCGTGCGACGCGTCTTCGTCTAAGGAATGATTTTAAGGATGTTTGAAGGGGGCGCCGCAGGGGTACCGGCAAAGGGGGGCGGAGGACAGTCAGGAGGCCGAGACAGGGTCTGCAGGGGTGGGGGACTCGGG